TTCTCCGCGGGGGTCCGGGGCTCTCCTAGGGCCGCCGTGCCCGGGCCCCCTGGAGGGCCAGCGAGGCGCGGGCATCGCCCTCTGCCCGGCTGCCCGGGGAGGGAGGGCTCGAGGCGTGTGACGTCTCTCTCGGGGCACCGGCATCCACCTTGTTTTTCTCTTTACACCGAGAAATGGAAGCGTGCGCAGGTGCCAGCGCGTAGCTGTGTCACACCAGAGTAATCGCTGTTGGAGATGACAGGGCCGGCCTGTGTCACGTTCCCTTTTTGACATGTAATTTTGTAGCGCTGGGCTGTGTTTCGGTAGCGTGGCTTTGTCTGACAGCAAACGCTTTCGGTCCAAGGGTAGGCGAGGCTGTGGAGATGCCGGGGATGTATTTGGGTGGGCACATATTGAATGTGTGCCAGAGCACTCGGTGTGTGTCTGTCACCGCACTGCTGTGTACCAGTCGTACGAGTGGTCTTTAGGGTTATGTAGATCTAAGCCTACGTTTGGACCAGTGTTTCTCAGGTTGAGAGCCTTTTTAAAGAAGTGTATCAGCAGAACATTTGATAATTCATGTATATGAGATACATCTGAAATGAAACCTGTTTGTCCATGTGTCTAGATTGGAGAACTTAAATAATCACTTGTGTCACCTACCACATCAAATATTCTAGATAGTTACAGAAAATGATGAGAAAGTCAGAAGCTTTTCTTTCTTAAACTATGTCCTCAGAGTCATAATGCTTATGCAGGAGGCAGGGCTTAAAAATGAATACTGGCACAGAAGTGGAATTTGCAAAATAATCTTCTGTTTCCCTTCAGTATAGGGGTACTTGATGAATTTACAGCTTGACTAAGAAAAATAGTGGGAAGTCTGCCCAGTGTGGAGATGTGGTCTGAAAATAATATGGCTTGAACAATTTTCAGTCCTTGGAAAGGATAAAGTTCTATTTAGCATTTGATAAGTGAAACTTTTGATTGCTTTTGGAGATAAGCTGCTAGTACTGCTGATTTTTGAGAGGGTATGTGAAGGATTTTGTGTGAAGTACAAGAAGCTGCAGCAGTTGCTTTGTTTATTCCTTACCTTGAATTTCTGATGCATAGAGGTGAGTCAGCTTTGATGGTAGTAACTGGAAAGGGAGGATGTTTTGAAATGATGCACAATGAAATCTGAGAATCAACACCAAAATGAAGAGGTTTTGCATTCTGGGAAGATGAAGCAATTGTAAAATATAGTAGTTATGACAGAAGTAATGTACAGCACTTTAGCATTGTCCTTTTCAAAGGACAAATACAAAACTTTTCTCATTGTAAACTCACATAGTAGTTTTGCAGAGGTCTTTTTGTTTCAAAGAAATATAGATACCTAGAGCCTGAAAGGGGCTTGCAAAAAAACTGTTGGCATCAACTGCAGGAGTACTTAGGGTTTTTGGACACACATTCATTTTAAAATTTAAAGTAATGTCTGGAAGTTGAGAGGAGGATGTAAGTGAACTTTATGAAGAGAACGTTAGTAAACTACACTGAAAAGGTGCATAGTGCAGCATAAAGTTGGAAATGCTTAGATGTTTGAGGAGCATAATTTATAGACCAATGATCTTGCTTAAATGTCTCTAGAATGAGGTCTTAGCCTTCCAGCCACGTCAGAGTATTTGTCAAAGGACCTACAGGTATCTGTTCAACATCAGGTAAGACTTGTGCAGTTTGATTGCAAGATACGTAAAGTAATCAATCATAACTGATTATGGAAATTCTCTTAAAGGGTCTAAGAAGTCCTCAGGAGAGTGTTAATGACCTCAGTCCTGTTGAAAGCTTTCGGATTCCTACTAAGGTATGATACAACATCCCTCCACTCCCATGTCCTTAGTTTTTATTTTTTCATTTTATAGTTTGATGACACTTAGTTGTGTCTTTTTTTTATTAAACACAAGGTTTGCTGTTGTTCTTTTTGAGAGTTTTGTTTCTTGCTGAAAATATTTTATGAAAGAACTAGGAGCTGTGAGACAAACCTGTTCACCAACTCTGAATGAACTTGCATGAAAATTTCTTGAAACTTTTGAGTTGTCACTGGATGCTGATCTTAATATTATCTAGGTTTCTTGCTGGAGTGAATTAAAAAAAAAGAAGGAGAAAGGAAAATGCCTTTTTTAATGTTTACTTTGGAAAGTAGATACTGTATGGGTAGCCTGTATAGTTCTGGTCTTGATATTTAGTCTCTTCATGGTTTTGGCGCTGTAAGTATATTTTGTAGTGTCATGGTTTTGATCTTCAGCATATATAGTTAACCTCATGTTCTATTTTAAAAGTTGTATCTTTATAATAATAATAATAATAATAGCTTTTGGCATTTTGTGGGTCTCAATACTTAACTAATGGCAGCTCACTCTCATCTCAGAAGTCATGCTGAATAACTTGTGTGTCAGGGAACAATTACCACAATATTTGACCGTTCCTTATACCCTTTTGATCTGAGTGGATGATTCACAAGACTTCTGTGGATTTATTCTATTATTCTTCCCTAATCTGGGCTTTGCCTTTAACCAATAAGATATTTAAGTCACTGACTTGAATTTGGATGGCCATTTTACAATAAAAAAACAACCCAAAAGACTGCTTGTGTTTCTTTGCCTCTATATAAGTACTGTGTAATATGGTGCTTATGCTGAGGCCAACCAGAAAATCAGCATTACTGTATATTTAAAAAATCAAGTAAGAATCTCTGAATTGGTACATGACACTCTATTAAACAGTGGCCAATATATTGATATCAAAGAGCAAAAGTATTCAGTCGCAGGGATGTTGAAAGAACTGTCTCATCTCCATGGCTTAGATTTCAGAATTGCAGATTCTTGCCACACACTGAGCATCCAGTTTCAAACTGTGTTTTTAACGAAGTTGAGACTCTTCATGTAAAAGTAGATGAAGGGTATCTTGGCTAGATTTCTGTTCTGTAACAGTTTGATGTTACGTGTCTGGTAAGTCTAAGCTGTGTATCAACGACAATGGGAAATCGAATACTTCTCAATAATTTGTATTTTTTTCACACATTTATGTCAAACATATGCAATGTGAAAAAATTATCTGCATCTGTCCTGCAAACAGAAATCTGGGCCTGAAAAACCTAGATTGCATCAACATTGGAACTTTTAATCTGATTACTTTTTTTTTCAGAGTTGATAGAATTAAAGTGTTATTCTCTCCTGTGCCACAGAATAAAGCTTTTATATTTTTCAGTCTTTTAATATTTAGGGTAGATTTAGATTAGATGTTAGGAAGAAATTCTTTATTGTGAGGGTGGTGAGGCACTGGAACAGGTTGCCTAGAGAAATTGTGGATACCCCAACCCTGGTGGTGTTTATAGTCAGGTCGGATGAGGCCCTGAGCAACCTGATCTAGTGAAATGTGTCCCTGCCCAGGGCAGGGGGGTTATAACTAGATGATCTCTATGGTTTCTTCCAAGCCAAACCACTTTGTAATTCTATAATTATGTTTTTTTCCTTCAAAAATGTTTTAAGTGACTAGTTCTCAAAATAACAACTATATTCAGAATATACATTCTATATTTGGAATATATTCAGAGTTGCTTTTACCTCCTCAAAAAGCTGTATTGAAGGAAAGTCTTATAAATTTGAGTGGTTATTTGATTATGTATGATGCTCTTAGTCATATGGTTTATATTCAGGTAGTACTGTGAGGAGCTGGGAATTGGACTTGATGATCCTTATG